ATGGAAATGGCTACTTCTTTTGCACCAGCCAAGTGTTGTCTGATCGAAGTGTTTATTCTTTTCCAGTCTTTCAGAATGATGCGTAAAGATTTTTCTTCGGGATTGGATGACCATCTTGCGGCTATGCCAATTTGGATAATCGCGAATGCAAAAGATCAACTAGGAACAACATTCGTAGGATGCCAACGCACCAACAACAAAATCTCCACTTTCCACACTAGATGTTTGGGTGTGTGTCCACTTCTAGTTTTCGAATTTAGGAAGGTTTTTCAGGTCGTGGAGCCAATTGTCGGAAAGTTGGTTGTTTTTTGTACACGTATATGAGGGGCCTTGGAAGTTGGTCCATTATTGCTGTGCGCCTTTGGGAAGGTCAAAAATGGGGAACAATAGGATGTAGTCGAAATCCTTAGGTTTTGCATTCCTGCAAGTTTTGTTTCTTTTGTGCTCTTGTAAATGGGATTTCTCTGTTCAAACGAAAAATGTTGAGGAACCCCGAATCTCTTGCGAAAAAGCCAAGAGCTTTTTCGAGTTCCTGGTGAACTCGTAGAGCTTTTATTCGCCCTCTCTTAGTAATTCCAGAGTACGCAGCGCGAACAAACTACACCTCTTTGCTCTCTGCACAGGATAAGTCGTAGGTTGTGGATCTTCAGGGAGGGAGTCGTAGTTGGTCGCTGGAAGGATGGGGGTCGGATTTGCTCTTTGCGAAACTTTGAGAGAAATGTTCTCAGTTTTCCCTGTTTGGAGTGCTCTGCATATACCTTCCCCCCTTGTTCGACGGCTGCTTTTTCAGCTTTTCTTAAAACTATTTGATTTTGTTATTTTGATATTTCTAGAGAAAACCTTGGGAGAATTCTAAAAGATTTACAGGTGGTATGGGAAAGAGATATTGCACCAGGGGGATTTCTCGAGGGGGTTCTGTTTTTGCAAAAGTCCTCCACGGTAATACGTGCCCTCTCTCCAACCTTTGGAGCGTACCACAGATCGTTTCAAAAAAGGGCCCACGACTTGAGAGACCTCCTTGTTGGGTTGTTAGAGGTGAAGCAAAGATAAACATCGTTTCATGTCCGATTTATGAGCAATTTTGAGGTCGATTTGGAGAAAGCTGTGAAAGTACCATTAAGATGCTTGATAATCGTTTCAAACATGGTCTCGAAGCAAAAAGCAAGGCGCTCGCCTTATATAGTGTAAGCAGATTTGTCAGGTATTCTCCATTTATTGAGATTTATTTTCTGATTCAGATCTTAGGAAACAATGTCTCTTCCACATGGGGACCACGAAGATGCCTTTCTAAGATGACTCTAACATTCAAATGGGATGCAAAGGTGTAGTACTGCCATAAATAAAGGGAGCCAGAGGATATAGCTTGTCAAGGAATACAATCGTAGGTCGAGGGCTACCTGTGTGCACCGCCTCCATCGGCGTCTGCAGTGTTTCACTTTGCGCCTGGATGGAAAGACAAACGTGTCGCTCTATTGGAGGCTACGGAACAGCTCGAGTTTTTGCTAGTAAGTATCATTTTGGTATTTGGAAGCTTTCGTCTTTCAGAGAACTTGTGATTTCTCTTTCTGCGAGCCTCTTGAACAAGGTCATGCCCATGGTACTCAACGTCTTATTATAACATTTAAGTTGATGGCAAATGTTCTGGATTCTGGTTCCACGATGGTGTGGCCTCCTGGGAACGAGGGTAATGTAGATGGTTTGCTCGAGGAAGTAAGGCAACTTATAGCGCGATACCGTATCCAGAATGATGACGCGGAGAGAACCCTTCACGGAACTAGGTAACTTCTAAATTCATAGATGCTATCTCTTTCCTAAGGTTTCTTTTTGCAGACATGTCGACTTCACTGAGCTTTTGTGGGATATATTGAAAAAGTGTCCGGACTACAAAGCCTTAGTGGCTGAGTACTTGAAAAATAAGGCTCCAGTCGTACAGGAGGCTTGGTTCATGCTACAAATCAAGAAAAACAACGACTAATCGTGAAACTAACCTCTTAAAGCGTTCATATCCTATTTCTAGCAGAATCTGGATAGGAGTCAGCGCTTCTAGCCGAGGAAGCATCAAGTCCTGTGATTGGGCGTCGCGTATCAACCGTGCTATTGATGACTTATTGTCTTCGTGTAACTAGAAAAGAAATGCAGCAATACTACGTGGACCAGATTAACGAATAATCAGAAGCAAAAATTTCAAAAGTACCGTACAATAGCATTAATGCGGCATTGCTTCAGAGCATCGAATACGATATTCAGGGCGGCCACTAAGG